CCCCCCCCCCCCCCCCCAATAAAAAAGCTTCCAACTCTCATGTACGAAATGCCATTTCAGACCCCGGACTTTTACAAAGGTGCCATCCACATCCCCAATCTCACTCTTAACTTCTCTGCAAAGTTGAGAGGCAGTTCAATGATGCAGACTCACAGATCACTTACAATAAACAAACGCCAATGAGCGCAGAAAAACAATCCTGGTCAGCCAGTATGTGCCAGATTCAAGTTTACTTTCCCGATATTCTGTTTCTATTTCACTTGAATTTGATGTTCTGTGCGGCATTTCTTCAACTTCAACAGGTTTTGAAGCTGTATTTTCAGTATTTGTAACACGCCGACGAATTATACCATCATTATTGCTCGCCATGTTGAATAATTACCTACCCAGGCGTGTTGTGTATCCTGCGTGGAGCGCTATTTTGAAGAACGCCCCTTTTCATGACACGCCCCATTCGCGCGTCAATTGTCAAATAAGAACCAATGACAGCAACCCAAATATTAACAAACAAACTCGCATTAAAATGTTGCGGGGTTTCCTCTGCCTTAATATTCAAAATAGAAACAATGTGTAAATGGCTGTGTTTTAACTAAAAAAAAAACAAGCATCGCAGTCAGTAATTGCCAAATTTGCAAGTGCTCATTTTCAACTAAAATCGGAACATGCAAATTAGGACGAATTTCAACAGAAAACCAGTCTCAAACTTCAAATCGTGAGGGAAGTCATGCGACCACAGTAGCATTTAAATGTGTGCTTCGCTGTCGCCGTTGTTATAAATAAATTGTCTCACTTATCAGATCGTGTGTGCAATTCTTGTTGGCGGCGGAAAGGGCATGTAGTAAAACACTGACTACCGGAACACCGGAACACCACCGGAACACCGGAACACCACCATTTTGTTTGGGGTTAGGGGTTGGGGTTAGGGTTAGGATTGGGGGTTAGGGTTGGGGTTAGGGTTAGGTGGTGTTCCGGTGGTGTTCCGGTGGTGTTCCGGCGGTGTTCCGGCGGTGTTCCGGCGGTGTTCCGGTGGTGTTCCGGCGGTGTTCCGGCGGTGTTCCGGCGATGTTCCGGTGTTCCGGTAGTCAGTGTTTTACTACATGCCGGCGGAAAGTACGAAATTTATTTCAGTTATTTCATTTGGTAAAGAACTCTACAAAAGAAAAGAGGGTTCAGAGTCCAGATCGTTTCCTTTCAAACGGCAATTACCGTCTTCTGTTTCGCTCTCTCAGCGAAGCCTTGCAAATCGCAAAGACTAAAGTGTTTCGAATAGGCTTTATACATGCAACTGCCTCTAAATCTTCACCGCGAAAAGCACTGTTTTCTTCAATGCAAGAGCAGAGTCGACATCAACCAAAACATAATTTTCTTGAGGAACATATCATAACATATCACGTCTGTTTGAAATTAATGAAACTCAAGTAAAGGTTGGCTATAGTTTACCCCGGCAGTCGTATTAAATGTTGCTATTACAACACTTCACGACAAGCAATCCCCAATGGCATAACGGCAAAAACATCTCTTTCTTCAAGTAAACAATAAACAGTCTGTTCTTGTTCCATTTTTAATCGAAAAAAGTGATCAATTTTCGAATTTTAAGCTTATCGAGAGCCATTCGAGAGCCTTTGTGATGAATCGGTGATCTAATTATAGAATCCAACAGCAAACAGCCAATCAGAATGCCGCGTTCGTGGGCGAACGCGGAAAGTACAAAATACCGGGCCTTGCTTGCAGGCCCACTATTTTTCCCTTTGGCCTGCACGCGGGCCAGGGTGCAGTTTTAGTAAGAAATTCTCCTTATATTTTTCAGGTACTGTAGTTGCATCCCTACGAAAGCTTGTTTATATTATTGGCACTACCTACACTGGCACAGACACTTCACGATTATATTGCAGTTCTAAAACGTCTTCTAAACAACTAACATTTTTGACAATTTTCATATTCACCACAATACTGTTTTATTTACACAGGTTGTCTGTAAAAGGTAACAGTGCCTTTTTTAACTATATATCTGGGGAGCAATTGCCCTCCCCCCCAGGGAAAGAATCCCCTCCCCCCAGTAAAGCCATTTCTGCCCCCGAAGTGCGAAGCAGAGTTGCTCATGATTGCTGTCAGAATTGCAGTTGATTTACTTGATAATGAGATTATGCCCTTCCATAGCCTCCTCCACAGCCATCTTGTGTGTAATTCATATTGTTCTTCGCCGAGTATTTCATAATAGCGATAGATTTCATGCAAACAATCCGATAAAATGCTGGTTCCAAGAAGAATAGATTTGGTTTAGATTTTTAACTGTTAAATACATGTATGCATCATCATAGCATGAATATTTCTTCTCAGACTTATTCTGTATCGTATGAAAAAGCAACGCAATTTTGAGAATGCGGAAATGGTGTCTCATAGAACCTAAAATGATTTAAATGCGACATTTCTGATCAAAATAACATTGGGATTTTCTCCCCCCCCCCCCAAGCATCACAGAGAGGAAATAAGGTGACACTGACCCCTCCCCCTATTTTTCGAGGTGACTTTTCCAATTTATTTAATTCCGAGTAGAAAGGTCTGGAAAAATTCATGTCTTCGATGTACTTTATAATCTTCGGAATTCTGCTAGATTTCACTCCCAAAATGCTTGAAATCGCAATTCAGGGACCCTAGATTTCAAAATTTCCCCGGGGTGCATGCCCCCGGACCCTCCTAGACGGTCTCACGCCTTCGGCATGAGGCTCGCCCCCCCCAAAAAAAAAAAATTAAGGTCTGGCTACGCCACTGGTTATAGCTGTACGATTATAGCTACAAAGAGTTGAAGTGATTGTTTAAAGTAAAATATAGGTGAAGTTAATAAATTAAAGTTTTACAAAATCTCTCTTCAGACTCGCGCGTTCGCCAAACCTCGACGGCTCAAATTTTTCGTTCTGCCTTTTTTCCTGTTTTGCCCCTCCAGTGAAAATTCCTTAAAAAAGGCACTGAAAGGTAATCATACTTTCATGTGCAAATATTGATAATCACAGCTCAGCTTATAAACCAAACGTTTACGACAATAGATGGATGCATGCTTTGTACCCACGTTCCGGCCAAAACACATATAAGCAGCCCTATTTTTCGAAACTTGTCATACCGCCTGATGATTCTTCACTGATGAAACAAACTGTTGCGGAATTTTGAGGTAAGCGAAATTCTACATTTGCTCTATCTTTATGATATTGAGGACTCTTTCCGTTTCGTATACACAAACCTACTCGTATATATATATATATATATATATATATATATATATATATATATATATATATATATATATATATATATATATATATATAGATATATATATAAATTAAGGTACAACAAATCAACAAAATCCACTAGGCATCTTTATTACTAAATAGTTTCGTACCACAGTATGTGGCACTCTTCAGATAAATTGACCTAATGACTATAGACTAAAACTTACAAGGTTATATGTACAAGTGGATGAGACATGAAACTTAATCCTATTTACAAAGCACGCGATTTAATAAACATGTTATATGATAAGCTGACAGGACGCGGAAAGATTAACACACCGCGGTATATTTAAATGTCTAGCTTTTAAATGTTACTTAAAAGGAATTTTTTATTATGCCTACATGCTGATACTAACTCATTACGTTTGTTTAAAGTGGCCATTTTAGGCTTACAAATAATAAAGTATTTCTCCCATAAACACAAATTACATCTATTTGAAGCACAGTTATAAGGCTTAGCTCGTTTTAATAGTTTCCATTTGATTGTATAATGGATGTTTCGATTTTTCAATTCCCACACATATTTGCTAAGTTCAGTAGCGTTCCGTTTGTCAAAAGAGCTAAATGATGCTTTATGGTTTGCAAGTCTTGTTTTGAACGAGTTTTCAGTAAGGCCGACATATGTTTGGGGAGGTCTATTGGTAGTTTTGTCCTTAGTAGTGACTGTGGCTTGATATACAACCGATTCGGTGATACATTTATTAGACAGTGGGCACAGTTCTTTATTGTTTTTAGGGCAACTGCACATGTCGGGACTATTCGTGGTGAAAGCTGTAGACAGCGTGGATTTGTTGTGTCCATCGATAGTCTGTTTAATGTTTGGCATACAGCTGTAGCTGATCTTGACTGTATTACGGTTGAATATTTTGTGTAATGGGTGATCTGCGGGAAATTCCTCGTCAATTATCTTCAAGAAAGTCTGGCCAACGTTAGTCGAAACATTCTTACTATATGGTGGATTATACTATATAATTTTTCTTTTACGGCTTCGGGTTTTGTTATTAGTCGTTTGGTTTAGGGGGTGTTTAAACTGTAGCTTGTGGTTGAATCCACTTTTGTCAAGGGCTTGTTGATATGGCGGGGAGGCTTGTTCGAATGAATCTTGATCAGGGGATATCTCGGTTAGTCGTTTGTTAATGGATAATGGAATATTACGCAGAACACTAGGTGGGTGGTTAGACTTGCTATGCACATAAAGAGGTGTGTTGTTAGGTTTAGAGTATGGATGATATTTACCAGTGGTTAGATTCAGTGTGACGTCAAGGAAATTCACGATCTTTTTGTTCGCTTCGATAGTAATTTTCAGACCATGATTGTTGAACAAAGTGCACAGATCCTTCTTAATTAGTTCTATTTGGCGCGGTGTTGCTTTGATAATGCCCAAGCCGTCGATAACATCACAGATGATAATAGTAAAATAATGATAATAGTAATATATGATCATAGTATGATAACAGAAAGAGAAATTATTTTACATGCGAAGAAATCGTGCTTGTACAACTCGGGCAAGCACTGGGGAAAGAAATTGTCATCAAATCTATTTGATGTCACTATGGGTAGCTTTGACGGTGCCGAATCTTGTGAATTGGTTGGATCTTTTTTACTACACCTTATTACAATGAAGCACGGTAATAAGTTTGGTTTATATAGAGACGACGGCTTGGGCATTATCAAAGCAACACCGCGCCAAATAGAACTAATTAAGAAGGATCTGTGCACTTTGTTCAACAATCATGGTCTGAAAATTACTATCGAAGCGAACAAAAAGATCGTGAATTTCCTTGACGTCACACTGAATCTATCCACTGCCGGGTAAATATCATCCATACTCTAAGCCTAACAACACACCTCTTTATGTGCATAGCAAGTCTAACCACCCACCTAGTGTTCTGCGTAATATTCCATTATCCATTAACAAACGACTAACCGAGATATCCTCTGATCAAGATTCATTCGAACAAGCCTCCCCGCCATATCAACAAGCCCTTGACAAAAGTGGATACAACCACAAGCTACAGTTCAAACACCCCCTAAACCTAACAACTAATAACAAAACCCGAAGCCGTAAAAGAAAAATTATATGGTAT